CGGCGCGCGCCCCGGGGTCCACCTTGCGCCGCCCCGCGCGCAGGAGAGGAGCAGCTGCCGGGAAACCCTATGAAGTCTCCAGAAAGGGCGTGACGAAGGGTCCTGCGGGGCGCGGTCCCGGCCGCCCGGGTCCCCCTTGGAGGAGCTCGCCGGCAGCAGAGCAGAGGAGCAGTGGTGGAGGAGGATGAGCGTGCAGCCTCTGGGAACCTCTGCGCGGTAATGCCAGCATGTAAGTCGCCTCCCAGCTCCGAGCCATTCGCACCTCCATCTCTGTCCCCTTCTCAACGCTTAGCTCAGCGCTCCCCTGAAAGGTACCAACTATGGTAACCGAAGCTTCAGCGTGCTCCTCGAGGTACCGGGGGCTGAGTATCAACAAACGGAGCTGGGGCTTGTGTGTGCGCGACTTGCTTTCTCCGTTTCTCGCTAAGGGAGAGAGGTGAACTTCACTCAGAGGCCGTGTAAAGCAGAATAAGAAGGGCAGGGCTTCAAGTATGGGGAGAACCTGGTTTTGATTCAAATTAAACAAGGACTAACCGACGGTGCAGCTGCTTGCAGGGCCCTGGCGCTGCCAAGCCAGCGCTCCCTGGATCAACACCTGGGGCCTGGGAAGGTATTGCTGAGCGGGGGAGATGTTGGCTTTGCTCTGTCACCTTTGACGGTAGAAGTCGTTCTTAGATCTCTAAGATATTTAAATGGCATTTCACCCCATCGTAAACTCCCCAGTCCTGCTCCTTTTTCTTTGAAGAGCTCAGAAAAATGTTCTCGGTGTACTATGTAGATTTAAAAAAGTAATTAAGGAACGTGATAGGGGCTTCCTGTAGAATTACAAGTAGGAGGCTTGGAGGAGAGGGTGAGATGGTCAGAGAAAGATACAAGGATTTGCTTGGATGGAATTGCCATCCACGCTGTGAGGTGTTGCCAGGGACCCCATGAAAGGGTGGCCATGGCCACCGCCTGGCCTCAGACTGGACAAAGGTTCTCACAAGGGCCACACTTATCTTTGAGGCCAACTTAGCGGGTTTTTTTCCCCTCATAGTGTGTAATTTTTCCCTCTGCTGTTTTATTTATTCTTGGGCAGACACCTGACAGACTTTGCACCTAACTTGTTTAGGAATTACAGAAATTGATACTTCCCTCTCTCCACAACTCCATCCTTACTTATTTCCGCTTCTGTTTCCTTTTCCAAGTTAGCACCTAGCTTGGGTCTTTAGCCCCCCTTGGCTGCTCTGTCCCCCTCTGCAACCCCACACACAATCTTTAAGGTGGGCGATGGAACAGCACACCAGCTTCACCCTCCATTCTGACGCTCTGATCTCGACACTGTGCCCTGTAATAAATACTACTTATTTTTATTAAAACTCCTTGTGAAGTAATGCCAACCTGTGAGTTTTAGAGTGCTGCCTATGGCAGTGCAATGGGTGAATGGATCTAACATAAGACTCATTTCCCTATGCAGGTAACAGGTTTGGAACGACTGTTAAGTTTGTTTCCAACTTTAGTTTTCCTGAAAATATTTCCCAGCTCTCCACAGGAGATATTTAGGCAACTTTTCTTCAACCTCCCTGGGTATCTAGAGCTCATAGGATTAAAAGCAACACACACGCACACGCACACGCACACAGACACACAGACACACACACACACACACACACACACACCTGCGCGCATGTGTGCACGTGTTCATGAACACCTTTAAAAGGATGTGAAACTGATCAACAGATAATGCAAACTTTTCTTGATAATGCGATTAAATTATTAATCCATTTGAACTCGGTGTGATTAAATTTATGACTTCTCAGGGAAGAATCATGATAAGCAGCCATCTAAGGCTTTTAACTTGGATTTAAATTTCTTTACCGAATTCTTTTTGGTGGATTTTTTTTCTGTGTCTTTCAATATCATTATGCATATTTTCTGTGCAATGGTTTGAGGTGTTTTGACTCCTTTTGGCTGATGGACAAGTTAGAATACATGGAGATAGTGCCAATCTGCCCAAGGTAAAATATTCCTATTATTTTGTTGGAAATGTTGAGATGGTAAATAGAAACTATATTTTTTCAAAATTTAATTGCAGTAAATAAAAATACACAGTTTATTTAAATGTCTTAGTCGCCTCTTGTAGAGAACAAACTTATATATTGTTTTTCTCAAACTTATATATTGATACACTCACATTTTGAAACTATAGACTTTATAACTATATTTAGGAGTTGCAACAACTGCATGTTTTGCATGCTCCAAGACATCCAGTAGATTTAGCAAGGCTGGCTCTTGTTGGTCTCACAGTGCATGAAGCTACTGTTCCATTTATGGCTTATATAAGTTACATGACATTGTGCCTCTCCAGTGTGAATGGTGAATGAGGCTATTGTCTGTTTGCTTATGGGAAATATTAGAAGTGCATAGTTGTTACTGTCTGACGGAAGTGTCACTCTGATTTCTAGAAATAATGATTTGAGAGACATTCCATTTATATATTAAAAATAAACTGTTGATAATGTCTTCAGATGCAGTAGTCATGTTTCTAACTGTCCACATGTTATATAGAATTCACATTTCTGATGAAAGGAGTAGAAGTTTCTAGAGACTATCTACTACTTAGACTAAATAGAAAGTGTGTGAGTAGTATTATTTGTAACCAGACGCATATTTCCATGTTTATTCCTAGTTGGGTGACATCATTACCTTATCCATCTTAGATGATGTTATGATAATACTACTTGGTGGAAATGATAACGTTTAAAGGATGTACCAAGTCCAACTAGGAATTCTAGTACGATTGTGGCTACCTGGAATTGTCTTGCCTACCTTTTACTCAGAGGGAAATTTTTTGGAATGCCTTTCAAGATTATTTAAAAGACCGCAGATATAATGAAAGCTTACATGTTTATGATAAATTTGGTTAAAAAACACAATCAGAAAGAAAATATTTATACTGCAATAGAAAAGTATGTATATGACTTGGTCCTGCCAATCCAAATAAAGGAAATCCAAGAGAGACACTTCTGTCATCTGACAGAGATCAAAGCAGTGCCACTCACCAGTTTGGGTGACAGCATTGACATGCCCCAGTGGATATTATAAGTGCATTTAAGTTTTTTATTTTTTATAGTTGTGAACCTACAAGAAGTTTCAAAGTATTAAAAAAAAAAAGAAAAAAAGGGGCTGGAGAGATGGCCCAGCACTAAAGAGCTGTACTGCTCTTGAAGAGGTCAGCAGTTCAGTTCCTAGCTCTCAGTTAGATGGGAGGCCCATAATGGCCTACAACTGCAGCTCTAGGGGGTCCAACACCCTCTTCTGGCCTCCAAGAGCACCTACACGCTGGTGCTCATACACACATACACACACACACACACACACACACACACACACACACACACACACACACACACACGCAGATGCATGTGCTTGCATAAAAATGTAAAACAAATCTTAAAAAATACAAAGAACAACCAAGTATCCTTTCTCTAAGAGTCATATATTATAAACAATAGTCTCATTTGTGTGATCATTCCCTGTTCATCCCTCCCCTACAATTTCATCTTTTTCAGAATCTTCTGTAATTTAGTTGCCCACACCATAGCTTAGGGGTTTACTTTTTCATTGAAAAATTTTAAGATAATTGCAGATTCAATTAACAGTTGTAAAAATTATAATATGAAAATATCCCATATATCCTTTGACTAATTTTTCATTAAGAACATTTTACACAGCTGGATGGTGGTGGCACATGCCTTTAATCCCAACACTCAGAAGGCAGAGGCAAGTGGATCTCTGTGAGTTTGACGCCAGCCTGGTGTACAGAGTGAGTTCCAAGACAGGCTCCAAAGCTACACAAAAATCCTGTGTTGAAAAATGCAAAAAAAAGAAAGAAAAAATTTTACACTAAAGAGCAAAATAAAAATAGGATGTTGATAAATTACATCTCTCTCTTCCAGTTAATTCAGTGCCTATTTGTGTATGCGCTCATGTGTTTATGCCTGTACTCTCTCTCTCTCTCTCTCTCTCTCTCTCTCTCTCTCTCTGTATTTGTATAAATTCTCAAGTTGACTTTATGGTATGAGTCAGTCATGCATATTCTTGTTCAAATAAAGCAGGCTTTGTGAAAGACCTGAACAGTAAGTGAGATTTTTTAGTGGGGGTAAGCCAACCTAATGAAAGGGTCTGAGTTCAGTAATAGGATAGCACACTCTCTCTTTTACACATTGCTTAGTCTCAGGAACATGACCTTTCACTGAAAGAAGAAATGCTGTTATAAACAGGCTGAATACGTTAAATTACTGTTCTCTTTTATCCCGTTAGAATCTCAAGGTACTCTCAGCCACTTCCAAACACTTTTATGAAAAAGATCTGTCATAGAAACAGTGGAAATATGGTTGAGGAAATGAATTCCGACTATTGATATTAGTAGAACTTATATTCTGGCAATTTCTCTGTTAATTTCAATATGTCTTCACTAACTTCACTTTGTCCTCCAAAGCTTTCTGAAATGGGGCTCAAGCATATTGTGTTTTGTAGCCTACTGTTTTAATATAGGGTTGCAGCAGAGGGATTAGAAGCCAGGGCTCACAAGGGTTTGGGTTTTACTATTGATTCTGAAAACTAGGCAAGTAGTTTAATCTCTTATTTTCTCACCTGTGAGGAAATAGTTTATGTGCAGAGTAAAAATGATTCTTTTCAAATTATACAAAGCTATGGCTCTGTATTCCTTTGAAATATGCTTCTTGGAGGCTAGAGAGATGACTCTGTGGTTAGGAGCACTTGCTGTTCTCCCAGAGGACCAGAGTCCAATCCAGTCATCTACACCAGGTGGCTCATAACCACCTGTGACCCTAGTTCCAGAGCATCCAGCACATACCCTTTTCTGACCTCCATGGGAACCCACATGCACCTGGTATAAACACACAGAGACAGAGACACATAAATAAAGAGAAAAGTAGTTCTTGAGAAAAATGTTTCTGTTCTTGGTTGAACTCTGAGGTCACGATCCAGCCTGTACTGAGTTGAAGTCCCTGTTTAGAACCTTAGTAACCCTGCTTGGGATTTTCCATTCTTCTGAGAAACTTGTTTAAATTTCAGGGATGTATCTTTACTAAGTGATCCCCTGAGAAGACCCATAGTGCTTCCCTTCCTCTGTTCTAAATTTATTTGTTTCTGCTCTTCAGTAAACAGTAAAGTAGATGAAAGTTGGCTTGTCGTATGGTTTATGTTACGTTACGAGAGGGCTTACTCTGTTCTGGCTGCTTTTGTGTCTAAAATGATGGAGTCCTGAGTCCTGGGATGTGTCAAGCCCTGGTCTTCATTTACAGCTATTGCTTGATAGGATTGCGGATAGCTTTGGTAAAACAACTCAAGGATGAGTTGTAAAGTCCCTAAATGTGAAAACCTTTTATAGTAAAGGAGAAGTTGCATGGAAAATAAACAGTGTTTGGTATCCAGGCTAAGGAGACACTTCTGTTTGAGAGCATGTATGAATTTAAGAGAGGGGACATTGGTCACATGTTGATGGAGAATTTCCCTATGATGCATAGAGTATGAAGCTGGGAAGGTGACATGTAACTCTTAGAAAGGCTGGCAGACAGCTCTATTTGTTCTTTTTCATTTTGTTGGACCTCAGTTTCTTCTTCTGTGAAAATCATAAGCTAGACATATTCTTTTGGATTTCCAGTTCTCTAAACTTCTTTGAATGTGTAATTATTTTGTTTTAGAAGCACAGCCTATTCATCCCCAGTATGAATGGAGAACACCTCATTCATACATTGTCAATAGGAAACAGGCCCATTCTTCCAAAGAAGTGACCTTTCTCTGTGACAGACTATCTAGCTGCCTCTTGTGTAAGCCCCTGCTGACTGAGCAAGAGGTAGCAGTTCTTTGTGGGTGGTAGTGGCCCATTTACAGAAGAGTGACAATGCTGACAGTTGAAGTGTCCCCTAAAATTCCCATCCCCAAATCACACAGTCAACAGAGAAACAAGCTGTAAGCTCTAACCATCCCAGAGTCAGTACCCATTATTGCTAATGTTATTACTCAAACATGCTCCTCTTAATCGGTAACTGCTTTAACTTCAAATATATTGGATGAAAATATCTGGAAACATGTTTTCCATATAAAAAAATCAAACCAACCAAACAAACAAACAAAAACAAACCCCTTTTCGGGTCTTAATCTTGTCTTAGTTTAGAAATTCCAAATGGACAGCTACCAGTAGCTGGAACTTGTAGAATGTGGACTACAAGACTGTGATGTGAGCTTCAGGCACTACATAAAATGTCTTCATTCACAGCAGGCATCAATAAGTTTAACTTGTTCCCAGGTGATCCCCAAAGTGGCTCCAGCGTCACTCAATGAATGTTGGCATTAAGGAGTAAGCCTATCATCTGTTATAGTTTAAGTGTCTTCCTTTTATTATACAGTGGATAGAACAAACACATTAGCATGCCAGGCCTGACGGTAATTATAACAACAGCTGTTATTTATGGAATGCTTGAGGTACCAGGCACTGACTTTTGAAGACATCATTTTATATCAGAGGTTCTACAGGCTAGGCGCACTGCTGTTCCTTACTTTACAGGTGACACACAAGTACAAGGTCAAGTAGAATTTGGGGATTGCACAGGTCTTAGGTAGCAAACCCAGATCTGTTTTACTATAACCCATGTTTTCTTTGATGCAATACTGCCTCTTACAAAAAATGATTCAAAAATGTATTCTTAATACAAGTACAGGAAGCCTTTCATATATGTTTCCTCATTTGAGTGTTTTCTTGGCTTCCCATTTAGTGTTACACACTTTACCAACATAAGCAGACTTTAGAGTTTAAGGAAGTATCTTGTTGTCCTTCTAGAAATAAAATTACTCTCTGGTAGTAATTGCAACTTTACTGTCTCTTTGGCTATTTTAAGCCCTGGAGGTTTCTTCCCATTGCTTTAGTCCTTGACTGCCTGTCAGTACCAGTCCCTTTATGGCCCCTTTCAACAAATGACTTTTATTCTTATTGCATCCTTCACAGCCTTTCCTCTTTTAATAATGCTGACTCAGTGAAATCCGTTGTGAGCCATGATAACATAGAACCTTTCCTTAGTAAGTACAGGTTTCCATTTAGATATGGCTAAATCAATTAGCAGCATATGATCCATCAAGATGGATTAGCAACCAGATAAAGGAATTTGACACTAAGTCTTATGACCCAAGTATTTGATCCGTGAGACCCACAGGATGGAAGGGAAGAGTAACTCCCAAAAGTTGTCCTCTGACCTCTACTTGCACATGTGTGCAGGCAGACACAAGCACACATTAAATAAGTGTCATTTAAAAGTGGAGACTGATGACACTGATATACACAAAGGTTGAGTGTTTTCACCTGCATCTAACATTACTTAGTAGTTTCTGAACTACTTGGTGATTACTAACCATTTGAAAACACTGATAGATATTGTTGCATATAATGGGTTTGTTTGTTGAATGTTAATGCTTCAGTGATTCATTTTAGGGAAAGAATAGAAATTTAATTTTATTTTAAATAAAATTTGACAAGAGGTATTATAACATGAAAACTTTTTCTTAAGATTTAAAATGATAACCCCCCTAAAGACCTAAAACAATACAGAGGAGAATAATATAGTTATCTGTTATATGTACATACATGTCTGCTTGTGCTGCAGAGAGAAAAGTTGAAATAATTTTATTTCTTAAGGAATTGCACTTTATTCTACATTATTTGAATATTAACCCATCTTCTTTAAGAATAATCACCTACCTATATGTTCTTGTAAGGAAGGTACAAACAAGTGAGTGGTGATGCTATATTCTGAAAGTATCTCTTACATCCTAAGATACTGGAGCTTCTCCTGGACCACATAGCCAGAGTTAGTAATACACCCCAGGTCATGTAAGACTGATATCCTACAGTTTACCCAGCCTGTTTGTTTAACCTGCCTTTAAGAGAACAGTGTAAACCCAACCTTACTTGTCTTGGATCTCCCTTGTAATTAGCTCTCACCACCTAAGCTAAGGCATAGCTGAAATCTTAAATTATGTGTTCCTCTGTGCCCAGGCCCAGAACAATGCATATGTATCATTTGCTGAAAGCAGCAAATACCAGAAGTTGAAAGCAGTTTCCTAAAATCTACCACAAAAGTTGAAAGCCACCATATATGGATATTGGTTGATAAAGTTTTTTGTTGTCTGGGTCAGTGGGGGTCAGTTGGAGCCTATGACTTAATTAAAACTCTGTTAAAGATTTCTTCCCCTTGTGATGCTTCCTGTGCTGTCCAATGGGGGCAGACAAGGTTCATACTCAGAAGCATCAGACACACACACACACACACACACACACACACAGACACACGGGGACAGAAACAGACACCGGAACAAGCACATTCACAGACAGCCTTCAGGCAGGCACAGATTCTGACTCATGCAAGAGATGAGATAGACAGGAGACGGAAGACACAGAGGTCATTAAATAGAGAATTCAAAGGACCTGTACAAGTGTCTAGGTAACAAACAAAATGGATGAATTTATGTATGTGTGTGTGTGTGTGTAGGGTGTGTGTGTGTGTACATGCTTGTACATGTGCGTGCACATGCCCCTGGAAGCCAGAGGTAAGCATCCGCTGTCTTCTGTCATCACTATCCACCTCATTTTTTGAATCTGTCACTGACCTTGAGCTTCCTCACTGGGCCAGTCTTGCAGGTCAAGGTTCTCCTGTCTCAATTTCCTCAGCATTGGGATTCCAGCCCCTGCCTGTTTTTTTTTTACATGGGTGCAGGAAACCTGAACTCAGCACTCTAGGCTTGCCCAGCAAGCACTTTACTAACTTCCCAGCACCTGGATTTCTTTCTCTTTTGCTTGAAGGGGATTATTTGGTTGGTCCTCATTATCCTTTAAGTCTCTTTGGAGGACATGGCCAAGAACATTTGCTTCATGCTCCCGAGGCCCTGGGTTTTATCCCTTTTACATGAAGCTCGTTATTTGAAAACAAGACTAACATTTTATTCTATAGTCACTCCCTGCTGGGAACCACACTTGGCATTATTTATCCTAATGTCATACTGAAGGGTCCCTGTCCTGACTGTGACTTTCTGTCATTAATTGCAGGATGGGTGAGGCACCAGGGATGAGGTGCAACCATCGGAGATGGAAGCTGAGCGCCCTTCTGCTCCTGTTTGCTTTATGGATTATGTGTGCTCCTCACTCAGGTAGGACTCTCTTCAAGGCTGGACTAGTAGTGATTTCACTCTAATCTTTTGAAATGTGCATGTTATTGAAACACTGACTTTTGCCAGTTACATTTCCCTCTTCCTCATTTCCATCCTTCTAGGTTTTTCTTTGGTCTCTGGGCTCCGTCTTCTCCCTGTTCTGTACGAGTTCTATCACCGCCATCATTGTTTTGTTTCCTAATGAGTTTATTATTTTTTTTAATCTCTGCTGTCTTCCCTCTCATTTTATTTGTTTATTTAGCCCATAGTGAATGATGAGATAACCACATAATGGACAGGGAAAAAAAAACACTGGCTGTTTCTACTGTTGAATAAATATACTTTCCCTTTCAAGTTTTCATATCAACGTTTATAGAAAATGCAAAATTTGCCATTTTCATAAATCCTGATTTGATTAACTTTTTGCAATATGGATTTTGTAATTTTCAGTGAGGGAATTTGAAATGATGCCTTTGGCTCACAGTTCCTTTAGATTATTTGGTATGAAAAAGTTCATGTTATTTAAAGATTTTTTAAATAATTAAAACATGTATTTTCTTGTAATTGAAGTTTTCCTTAACCTTTGAAATAAGATTCATTGGATGTTAAAACTTAGATTTTCTTTAAACAGTTACATAAGTAAACCAACTAGACTGTGCCAGGTAAACAATGTTTTAAAGGAAATTGTTACCTTGTTTGATTTTCTATTAAATTCACTGTGTTTAACACTGCGTTTATTTTCTCTTGTTGTATTCACTTTATTACATTTCCCATTAGAATGGAGCCAAACTGTCAATTAAGAAAGTAACTATTTAATTCTGATGTGATTAAGACTTCAGATTTAGTCAGGAGTTATCAGCTCCATATTATTGTGTATGTGTATGTGTATGTGTATGTGTATGTGTATATATTGTGTATAAATGATACATTTAAGGGTTCTTTGAAGTAGATTATTCACCAAAATTGCTTACTCATGAATCAAGACACTCAATTTGTTCTCAGTATATAAAGGCTGTTTTTCAAGTCACCAAGTGTTTTAAGCCTTTTCAGCTACTTGCTTGGAAAATCCCTGGCATTTTTCCTTTTGAAGTTTTCGAAACAGAACTGATTTCTGAGTGCATTCTTGTGTGTGTTCGCTAGAATATCTGTGTAAAGTCATCTTTCTGTTCCTTAGTCATTGCCAGAAGAAAGCGCATTAAGGGGATCTGAAAGTCAGAGGGAGATGGAATTTCTATGATGTATAGTGCTGAACTATTTCTTAACCTTCAAAGTGGTTTTTCAAGAACCAGTTGGATGATGTAAGATAAATTATGAGGTGAAAATTAGTTGAGGTCTGTTTACTTTCGTTTCTGTGAGGTCATGCGTTTGTAAACTTTCAACATTTCTGCAAACCAGTGTACCTCAAATTGGGCCTTTGTATTTTACATGTCATCATTTTAATTGACATATGCACATTCCTGAATTGTTGTCTCTTGAAGAAGTGAAATGAAACATATACTTTGAAGAAAATTAAAATAAGTCAGCCAGGCTGCACTGGGCTGGGGTTAGAGAAGCCTAGAGGGTGTAGACTGTTAGAAGGCACCCACCTCTGAGATAAGGCGATCCGAAGTTTATTCTAAGTTACTCTCCGACCCGAAGTGTCCATCCTTTTAACAAACGTCTGTATTGACTTGCCCCCATTGAATGCAGTTTCTTTCCTCAGAGGGGTTTGTATTTGCTTTTCTCTACCCTTCTCTCACTTAATGTGCCACAACTTCACACACAAATGCCTCAACTCCCCGCATACTTTACAGGGTATTATTAGGGACATTTGGATATGAAATTCCTGCCTTTTGTACTGTCTTCAGCAGTTCCTTACAAGGAACTCACAGACATTTAAAATGATTCAGACTTTAGAGAGACTTAACTTTTATTTTAGTCTTGCCATTTGCAGAAGTCAACTGACCACTGGATTTGAAGAGGACATTTTGTGCTTAACTCTTAATGTTCCTTTGGTGCACATTCCAACCTTTTCTGCCTTTGGATATGACTAAACCATCTCAGGCTTGGGGGGCTTTTAATGGCACTTTCATGCTAATGTCTCCTCATCTTCAGTCTTGGGTCCTAGAGTCACTCGTCTGGTTGTTGATGGCTTGTCCTTAGATTTCAAATAATTCACAGATTTTAAGTGTATAAATAGTACTCTCCATTCTCCCCCAAAGTTCTTCCTTGTCAGCCTCTACAATCCACCATACTACCCTAGCTTCTCCTTGTTTCTTAGACATACACCTATTCTTGGTTTTTTTCTAGTGAATCTTTTTTCACATGCCAATCCCTTCTCCCTCTCCCTCCCCTCACCCTACCCTTCCCTCCTTGCCCCCAACTACCCCTCACCCCATCCACCCTCCACTCCCCAGGCAGGGTAGGGTCCTCGATAGGGGCTCCCCAAAGTCCACCACATCATCCTGGGCCAGGCCTAGGCCCTCCCCCATGTGTCCAGGCTGAGAGTTCATTGCTTCGTGTGGGATGGGCTCTCAAAGTCCCTTCTTATGCTAGGGAAAAATACTAATCCACTACCAGGGGCCCCCTAGAGTGCGGAGGCCGCCTCATTGACATCCATGTTCAGGGGTCTGGATCAGTCCTGTGCTGGCCTCCCAGACAGTAGTCTGGGTCCATGTGCTCCTCCTTGTACAGGCCTGCTGTTTTTGTGGCTTTTACCAGGCTGGTACCGTCCCCTTTGATCTTCATTCTTCCCTCTCTGCAACTAAGTTCCAGAGTTCAGCTCAGTGTATATCTGTGGGAGTCTGTCTCTGCTTCCATCAGCCACTGGTTCTATGATGGCATAAAAAGTAGTCATCAGTCTCATTATAGGGGAAGGGCACTTAGGTTATCCTCTCCACCATTGCCTAGATTGTCAGTTTGTGTCATCCTTGTAGGTCTCTGGAAATCTCCCTGGTGTCAGATCTCTCCTCGGACCTATAATGGCTCCCTCTAATATGGTGTCTCTCATCCTGCTCTCCTCTATTCTTCCCCCAACTCAATATTTCTGCTTCTCCATTTCCTCCTCTCCTCTTTTCCTCCTCTCATTCTGACCACTCCCTCTCCCCTACCCTCATGCTCCCAATTAGCTCAGGAGTTCCTGCCCCTTCCCATTCCTGGGGTCCATGCATTTTTCCCTTAGAGTCCTTCTTATTTCCTAGTTTCTTTGAACACCCCTATTCTTTGACTTTACCTTCTTATCAAACTCTTTCCTAGATCCCCATGTTCTCTCTAATAATAGACCTACTTCTTTTTGTGCTCTTGTCTGTGTAATTGCTCCTTTATCACAGTGGTTTTCAACCTTCCCAATGCTGCTGCTTTTAAAGTACTTCCTTAGGTTGCGGTGACCCCAACCATAAAATTACTTTTGTTGCTACTTTATAACTGTAGTTTTGCTACTGTTATGAATTGTAATGCAAATATCATTGATCCCTGTGAAAGGGTCATTGGGCCCACCAAAGAGGTTGTTATTTACATGGTGAGAGTGGATTCTATAAGATTATCTCTTCCCAACTCAAAATCCAGAGGATCCCCACTCTCATTCTTTTCTATTACCCTTAATGATAATTTGTAAGTATTGGAATCTTTTAATTGCAAATGGTTTGCTTGTTTGATTGTAATAGCTAGGGTAGATGATTGACAGATCTCTTTAGATTGTTAAAAGTGACAGTTCAGATGCTTAAAGTTACACTCTTTCAGTTTATTTCTAATAATATCCACACTTTATATAACAGAAAGGCAATGTCAAGAGTCCTAGTAGGAAGGTTAGCAATGTGTTTTCATGGAAAAATCAATTATCAAAAGTAATGTATAAAAAGCAACTCATTGTCTCTTGATTAGTAATGAATGTAACTTTAGTAGGACCCATGATATAATTGGTCCCACATAAATAAAAATTCAAACAACAAACGATTTTTTTACACACTAGCTTACCAACTTTTAAAGTATTTGATAACATCCAGCAAAATTAAAGGTATTGGGAAAACAACATTATTAGTTCACTTTCATCAAAGTGATTGGAAGTATGTTATAAAACTCAAGAAGGTGTATGGTGTCTTTAGATACCACTTCTACATGTAGGTTGTCTGTCATATAAAAACTTTTAAAATGATTGTGTGGATATATGTGTTAGTGTGTTAATGTAAAAACATGCAATTGGAAAATGCTAATTGTTCATCATCAAGGAAATGGTTATATGAATTATTTTATATTCATACTATGAAATACTGCACAACTCTTTAAAACAATGAGGTAAAACCATGCATATTGGTTTACTGTAATGGCTTGTCTGAGATAATAATGTATAATTAGAAATACGATTATAGAGGAATATGAAATTATCCCACATTCTAATGGATCCTATTATAGAATCAGGGCATTTTATAGTTGTGTGTTTGTATGATCTTATAAATATAATTAAACATGAAGCAAGCTACACCAAGCTTTCAAAATGAGGACTCTCTAGGGGAAGGGGCAAGGCAGTGATGGTTTATATACTTGTGGATTATTGAAAAAATTAAACTTTTTTTTTTTGTATGTGGTAGGAGAAAGACAGTGGTGATCAAAGGCTACCTTGTGAGAACCTGCCTTTCCCTTCCACTCTGTGGATTTTGGTGTAGAATTCATGATACTAGGCTTGACCAACTGCCTTTACTCCCTGAGATATCTCACTGCCTCAGATGCTTTGTCTTTACCAGGAGCATGTATTAATTCATCAATTTGAAGAAAACTTAATGAATTTTATTGTTTTAATTTTTAAGAGCCATACAAAAACTGAACAGAATGGCTTTTAAGCACATGACTAATTTTCTGAGTCACTTAACTGTTACTCTTTCTTTACTGAAGATTCTTAGAAATTTTTCAGATAATAGCTTCTTTTTATGTATGACACTGTATGACTCTGAAGATAAATAATGATCTAAAAGCAGGCAGAAATTATGGCTTCTAGTAGAGTACGGAACAAACAGCCATAAGCCAACGAA